CCCGTGAAGCATCTGGAATCCCCCGCTACCGGCTTTTCCCTCTGGAAAGCAAGTGTTAAAACCCGCGCGGCGTAAGGCAGAGCAGTGGCGTGCCTCAGCCTGTGGCCTGCGTCAGGAAACCCGCTGCGGTGCAGAAACGCGGAGGGGTGTTGGAAGTGGTTTAGGAGACTTTGTCCTTCACCATCTCCTGTTCGAGAAGCTGCTGAACGTTCAGTAAAGCGAGCGCGGGCAAACGGGAATATTTTTTTTTAAGCTGGGGCAAAGGATATTTAATTTTCTGGCTAGCAGGGGCTTCTTCCCTATCTCAGTTCTGTCGCAAGATGTTACGGTTTCGCACTCGCGCCGTGCTTTATGTACTGAGTCGTCTTGCAGATGTCACCACGCCAGAGCTTGGACTGGACCTACCTGGTAACCTTGTGTGGGAGGAATGAACCACTAAACTCGTTTCTCTTCAGAGACTCTAGACTTGTGTTCAGGTGGAAAGGGGAAGAACAGCATGGCAAAACCGTAACGTTTTAGGATAAGTCAAGTAATTTAGCTCCAGTTCCTGGGGAACTAAAATAAACTTAGTTATTAAAAGAATTTGGAAAATAATGAGTTCATCAGGTAGTAAGTAGTTCAAGAAAGTTGCCCTTGAATTAGTGCTAAAGTGGACAGGTGAGTTCTGGTTGGGCATATCCTGAGCCTGGTTGTGTTGAGTGTTTTCACTGATGAGTTGGATTCCAAAGCAGCAATTGTGCTTACTGAATGTGCACGCTACATAGCAGTGAGGTGGGTTGCCGAACCCGCTAGACAATTAAAATGCAAACTGAAAGCTTGTTAAATTGTAGAAGTCTGAAATACATTTTGTGAAATCTATACTAAGAGACAAACACTAGGACCTGTATTTAGCCTGGAATAATTACCTGTTTGTGCAGTTGTTAGCAGTTCTGCCAAAGAGTGCAAAGGAAACTAGGTATAATTCAGCGTCTTCAGTGTCATGGAGCCCCTGGAGAAGGCACAGACACGCAGGTCTGTGTAAAAAGGAATGTAACCTTCACAAAATGTCGAGGGGTCCTTCTGTTTTGCACAGGATTGGTTGGTAGAAAACATAGCTGTAAAATCAAGCGTAGAAGAATATTTTGCTCTCCCATGTTGCCTCGTGAGTACAGTCATTCACGAACGTTTCTGTGTTTTGGCAGGTGGTTATACTTCATCACATGTTGTCTAAAGCAACTGTAAAGGCCAGACCCTCTGTCCTATGGTGTTACAAAAAGGAGCTGGGCTTTAGCAGGTAAGATACCTCGTGTCTCATGCTGCGGTCGCTGCTCTGTGTGAGGCAAAAGCTCTGTGGCTGGTCTGCTGAGTGTAGGTTGCGTGATTTGGTTGTAAGGAGAAAAAAGATTTGTTCTTGAAGGAGCTGTAGGAAGTTTGGTCTTCCAGGACTAAAATTTGGCTTCTGTAATACAGTTGACATCAGCACTAGGTACTTCTGGTTTCTTTTTGTAGCTCTAATGTTAACTGTTGTCCTGGACCAATCTCTCCCTCGCCTTTTTAACCTCAAAAGGTCAAATACTTTAATTCCTCAGCTTTTTAGCCTCAGTAATATTTAGGACTGAATGCAGATTAAGAATTAGAATGCCTTAATTTTGAAAAAGTGTTTAAAATTTTAATTCTTAGATTGGTGTGTGTACTTACGGTCTTGCACACAAAGTCAGAAAGAAACTGCACGATTCCAACCAAGCGGTTTCTTGCAAAACCAGCTGGTTCTGTGTGATAGCCGCCACTTTGGGCTGGAGGCACATGGGAACATATAGTGAAAGCAGCAAGTATGATCCAAGATTTTTTTTTCCTTGGAGGCTGTGCTCTGATTTCCAGTGAGACTTGAATGTAGGCCTGAATGCACTTTTCTCAAACCTTCTTCCAAGAAAACCTGTACAATTTTGTTCTCCAGCCACCGGAAGAAGAGGATGAGACAACTCCAGAAGAAGATTAAAAGTGGAACTTTAAACATAAAGGATGATGATCCTTTTGAGTTATTTATAGCAGCCACAAACATTCGCTACTGCTATTACAATGAAACTCATAAGATTCTTGGTAACACTTTCGGCATGTGTGTACTACAGGTAAGGAGTCGAACTTTTGACTGAAAAAGGACATTGCACTAGTATCAATTGCTTTCAGTTTAAATGCTGCAGGAATAGTATTGGTTGCTTCTGTTATTTCAGTTATGATGGCTTTATGTATCTTCTACAAGTTTTCTGAGGATGAGATAGCCTTGCTGGTAGAATTTTAATGGGACATTGGTTAATGCAAATGTTGTGTGAATTAAGGTTTGAGAAACAATATTTTTAGATTTTCTGCTCTGTTTAGTGGGTGCTAGTTGTGCTGGTGAACTCTAGGCAACTTTGCAGTTTTATTTCCTAGGATTTTGAGGCCTTGACTCCAAACCTGCTAGCTAGAACTGTTGAAACAGTAGAAGGGGGCGGAATTGTGGTGATTCTCCTGAGAACTATGAACTCACTGAAGCAGCTCTATACAATGACCATGGTATGTTCAACGTAATGTGTCTGTTTTGTATAAGCAGGTGCATCGTGGTGATGCTAAGTTTTGGTTTTGTTGTGGGCTATGGTTTTCCTTCCATCAGCTTTCCTGCTTCTCATTCATCTGTGATGGAACGTCTTATGCTTAGGCGGTTCTGCCAAACTCTGTGTCTTAAAATGCTGCTAGGTTACACGGAAGAAACACCTGTCATTCACAAATGTAACCGTTCTTTTGTTTCACAATAGTTTTGGAAAGTATTTATGCTATCTGCCCATGTAACAGAAAGTTAAGTAAAAAACAGGCCTTTTGAGTGTTTTGTGACCTGTTGCTAGGTGAGATCAGCTTCACAACTACTGTATATTTCTAGATACGAACTATTCGCACTGACTATACTTACACCTAGAGCAGGAACTGTTTCCATTAGTAATAATGCCAGTAGGTGAATTAAAGCGATAGACTATTTTTTGTTAGCATCCCTGAGGTGTTTGAAATGTTCTGTACCTTGCAGAGTTGACCTTTAAGTCAGGCAAGAATAAGTGAGACCATTGTGGAAAGTATTGGTGGGGAAAGTACATTTTTAACAAGTATTTGGAAAATGTGGATGTTTCACAACAAACAGAAAATCAGAATCCTGTCTGGGATGCAGTGTTGATGGAAAGGGAGACACTAATCCATGAGTGGAAAAGAAGTTGGCTTGTCCCATGAGTAACAGTGTTGTAAATATCAGTGTTAATGCTGTTCCTTCTCCAGATTGACTTTTTCTTTTTGTTTCAGGATGTACACTCTCGATATAGAACAGAGGCACACCAGGACGTGGTAGGACGGTTTAATGAGAGGTAAGTTATTAAGAGTGTAAAGGATCTAGGCTGCATGCCCAAGGAAAGTATCTGGAACAACATCGTGTGTTCATATTAGGAAAGCATCCTGTAGGTTTACATTGGAATAAGGCTTCTTGGCTGCTTCAGTGAAGTTCTCATGTACTGTTCTGGAAATGAATACAGTTTGTTGTTGGAAGAATTGTATACAAAATTTTGGCATATGTTATAAGGGATATATGCAAATAGGCCCAAATTTGTAAACTGTTCTGAGTCCCTTTCTTGAAACGCTCTGTAGAAATTATGCTCCAGATGCACCGAAGTTCAGATACTTACTGCACTACTGTAAAACATAAAACTGCTTAGTGTGGAGTATTCTCTGTGGTTTCAGAAATGTCTTGTAAAGGTGTTTTCTCTGCTTTTGTTGTATAGAATGAGCAGCTCTTAGGGAGCGAGTGAGCCCTAGCTTTAGCTGTAGGAAAATTGCAGAAATCATTCTTTAGCGTGCAGGTGGTTATGTGATGTCAGAAATGAGGAGGATGAATAAGTCAGCACTGACTGCAGTCTTTGGGGGTCAGCGCTTGTCACAATTGCCGTGGATTCATGCAGCTTTCATGCAGCTGCCTCCCACTTAAATGCCCTCTTGGTAGATCATCTTTAGTTAGCATTCCTTTGGAGACATCCTGGTAAGTGGATACCTGTTTTGTGTAGATGATCCTGATTTTATGGTAAGAGGCATACTGCCAGCTGTGTGAACTTGCCGTAGCTCAGCTGTAAGTAGCTGTAGCTGTAAATACTACGTCTGGGTTTAGGAAAGAGTTTAAATTACCTACCAAAATGCAATTGTGTTGCTAGTGTTTTTACTGAGTTGCCTTTGCCTGACTGCTTAGGTTCATCCTGTCTCTGGCCTCATGCAAGAATTGCATCGTGATTGATGATCAACTGAATATCTTGCCCATCTCCAGTCACGTTGCAAACATCACACCTCTTCCTCCACAGTCGCAGGTCAGTTAACAATGTCAGCCGTTTTTCCTTGGGAGAAATTGGTCTGAGTTGACCGTGGTGTGTTAAAGATTTAAAAAAGAGGAAGCTTTCCTTTCACCCTGATTTATATCAAATAATGGTCTTGCCAAGAGGAAGTAGAGTGTTCTGCAAAAATTATACCTGGTATGGGTGGAGCATGGGAAGCTGTCTCTTCTTTCCTCCTTGGGCTTTTTTTCTGTCACAGCTTTTTTTTTGTGCTTGCCTGTATTTATTGATTTTGCTGTATTGCTGTTTAGCCTAGCGAGGTGGAGCTTAAATGCTGTGCTTGCTGTTTCAGAAGCGTGTAGAGAGATTTCAGGCTGATAGATAGTGGGGTTGGGACAAATAAAAAGACCTTTCGATGGTTGGAGGGTGGGAAAACACTTTGGAAATAAGTATATTACAAGCTCAGGAGACACCTGATACCTAGAAGCTGTGGTAGTTGTTTCAATTTCTGAGTTATACATGCCACATCTCAGGAAACATTCACTGATTATAAGCCAGATATATCGCTTGTGCTGTTAGAAATGTATCCTTTTATCACTTTCAGTTGTAGACGAAAGTAAAACGGAACCAGTTTTAAATAGAAATCTTTAAGCTTTTGAACTGTTTTGTCTGGCGTAAGAAATACTGACATAGGTTCTGTCAGAGATGGTAAAAACATTTTAACAGAGCACTGATTTTAAAAAACAAAACAAAACAAATCCCCCTTAGCATTATAACAGTGCTTATCTATTGGACGGATAGACTGATGTCTTTGGAATTTTAAGTGACAATAAGGAAAAGCAGAATTCATTCCCATTTAAAATTGATTGCTTTTGTGCCCAAGTTTATTGTTTGGCTTCGAAAATCGTGGTATTGGTTTGAAAACTGATCTATTGCTGCTGCAGTAGTTTTTCCCCCTATGTGGCAATGCTTACACCTTGTATGACAGGTATAACAAAGATCATAAAATTTTGGTACAGCCTGAAGACTGAAAAATGAATTAAACTCTTCAGAAAATTTGTCCATGGTCTCTTCTTCCTAGCAATGCCATTCTCCAGTTACCAGGTATTGAAAAATCCTTTCCTTTTTTCCTCCAAGCTTGGGGTTACCCACCTCTTGTGTAACCATTCTCCTGAAGATGCATAAAATTGAAGTGTTAAATACCTGCCTGTCATTTCGATTTTTCTGTTTCTAAGGAGTATATTCAACTTGTGGTAACATTTCCTTTCAGGTATCTTTCTCTTCCTGATAAAAGATACCAGAAGACATCACAAAGGTATAACTTGGCCGAAGTGTCCTTTACTAATCCTGTTATGGTAAATCCTGTGCTTATAGGAAGACAGCCTCCGGCCGCAGGACTTGGAGCTGAAAGAACTGAAGGAGAGCTTGCAGGATACGCAGCCTGTAGGAGTTTTGGTGGATGGCTGTAAAACCCTGGATCAGGTTGGTGTGGTGTTCAAATTTGAGCTACTCTGTGCTTGACAGGTTACCTTGCATGGTCTCATCTTGCACATGATCAAATCCGAGTGTGAATAGTGATGAGTGTGGTCCTAGAGAATTGCCTTGAAAAATTGATTGGACATGGTAACTCAACAACAGTGTCAGTCATTTTCTTCATGAAGTTGAGAATAAGTGAAAGGACTAGAATGGAGACAGGAAGCTGATAGGGAGAAGTCCGCATCTAAAAAGATGATGAGCTCTCAGGATTTGAAATAAGCAGGAAACTTAACCTGAAGTTTCTGTTCTGTTTAGCTCTGAATAAAAGTTGAAAATCCACATCATGTTTTAATATGCCCCTATTCCTGCCTCCCTTGCACTTTTTTTACTCCAATTTGAGAATCACTGACTAGTGCAAATGAAGGCCCTACTGCAATTGTCTTTCCTGTTTCAGAGTGTCCACTGAGAAGTTGCAGTTCAGCCTGGTGGCTCCCAGAGCTGTGCACTGCTTACGCCCATTCATAGTAGGTCTTCTCACTGCCCAGATATGTTTGTTTTCCTCCTCTGAGAGCAGTGTGCCTCTTCCCATCTTGCTGAATAATACTCTGTAAAGTGGCCCGGAGGTAGTATTTGAGAATTGCTGTACTGATTGTTGATCTGTGTTTTGACCTGAATAATTTCAAGAACTCAGTAGGTCAAGATTACCACTTCTTGCACATTGTTTTTCTGGGTTTTAATGTTCGGGTCTCCTATCTTGTCTTTCTCTTCCTTCTTCCTGTTCTAGGAAAGATGACATGTGCTAGTGGTAAGTGTAAGTAATGCTGAAAGCAGTTTAAACACAGCTGATTTTTGTTTTCTGTGTTTTTCTGATCATCAGGCAAAAGCAGTTCTAAAATTTATTGAAGCCATTTCTGAGAAGACTCTACGGAGCACTGTGGCATTGACAGCAGCCAGGGGACGTGGTAAATCTGCTGCTTTGGGACTGGCTATTGCTGGAGCAGTAGCTTTTGGGTGAGTGATCCCCCCCCAGTCTCCCAGGCTTTATTTGCATCCATGGGTTTTTTAAAAAAAAAAAAAAAAAAAAAAAAGACAGGATCTGAATATATTTGTAATTTCCAGTCCTACATCCCTCCTTTTTATTCTTCTTATATCTTTTGATTGCTGCATATACTGATATTTAAGTGTTTCTATTTTATAGTAATAAGAAAACCTCAGTCTTTAAAAATCCAAATACTCACACTTAAATTGAGATAAGTGTCTAAAGGAATCTGCTGTGTTTTGGTTATTAGGTAAAATCAACCCCTCGTATAAAGAAAACATTCTACTTAGTACGTATATGTAAAATTTGTTAGAAATAGAGTTCAACTCTTGTTTTATTTTTCTGTGCAGTTACTCCAATATCTTTGTCACATCTCCAAGCCCTGATAACCTTCACACTCTCTTTGAGTTCATATTTAAAGGCTTTGATGCACTGCAGTATCAGGTAAGGAGAGCAGACTGCTTTACAGTACTTTCACAGCATTCCTGTTTAGAAGGGGTTTTGTATCTCATCTGTGATTTTTGTTTACATATATTAGCCACCAGCCTCTTTAGTGATGTTCTGCATGAAAGAATCATAGCACAGTTATGTTTCCTTCTCTATTTTTAAGTTGGCTAAATCAGTTTCTTTGTGACACAGTTTTTAACATAAGTAAATAATTTTTCAGTTCCCGGGCCTCTGAAGCTTTTGTTATAAGAGTTTTTAACTAGAATCTGAAATAACTGTGCTCTTAGTGAGCTTATTTTGATGATAATGGTAAATGATATTTTCCTTAGATCTTGGCTTGTTCATACTATTTAACAATGTTTTCTTTCAGGAACATCTGGACTATGAGATTGTTCAGTCTTTAAATCCGGAGTTTAACAAGGCTGTTGTCAGAGTGAATGTGTTCAAGGAGCACAGACAGACCATTCAGGTAACTGGCCTCTTTTGCACTCTTGCTTTTCTATTTTTTGTTCCTAACTGTTGGCTTTACTGATTGTCCTGGTTTCGGCTGGGATAGAGTTCATTTTCTTCCTAGCAGCAGGCATAGTGCTGTGTTTTGGATTTAGTAGGAGAAGACTGTTGATAACATGCTGATGTTTTTAGTTGTTGCTGAGTACTGCTTATGCCAGTCAAGGACTTTTTCAGGTTCCCATGCTCTGCCAGGCACACAAGAAACTGGGAGGGGGCACAGCCAGAATAGTTGATCCAAACTGACCAAAGGGCTATTCCATACCATATGGCGTCATGCTCAGTATAGAAACTTGGGGGGGGTGGCCAGGGAGCAGCAATCGCTGCTCGGGAACTGTCTGGGTATCGGTCGGCGGGTGGTGAGCAATTGCATTGTGCGTCACTTGCTTCGTGTATCATTATTATTATTATCATTATTATACTGTTACTATAACATTACTATTTTACTTTATTTCAATTATTAAACTGTTCTTATCTCACCCCAGGAGTGTTTCTCACTCTTACTCCTCCGATTCTCTCCCCCATCCCATCGGGGTAGGGGGAGTGAGCGAGCGGCTGCGTGGTGCTTAGTTGCTGGCTGGGGCTAAACCATGACAATGGTAGTTGTCAACAACAACTGTAGTTGTTTTGATTTTAAGCATGTTCATTTTATGTGATGTGTAACTGTCCTGTTTCATTGATCTTGCTTTAAGGCAGATCTTTTTTTCTGGTGAGTGACTTTCACAAAATACCTTATTTCTTTCTGTGAATAACTTGTAGATTACAAAACTCCCTTGGTAATTGCTTGTGGGTTTCTTCTTGAAGCAAAAGCAAAGGAAGGTGAAAGAAACGGTAAAGGAACAGCGTATGTTTCTAGTGATTGGATTTCCTTTATTTTCATGATGTCTGCAGATAAATTTGTGTGGAAATGTACAAAACAAGATGTGTGACCCAGTCCTTGTTAGGGTAACATGAACCTTCTCCCAGCTGTTTGTTTTCATGTCTCAGTCTCTGGCTTGACAGTTGTGGAGAACAGGGACAACAAACAGCTTTTCAGGGCTCCAGCTTTGCCAACTCTGACATTTCCCTAATTCCCAGACAAGCTGTTGTTGACAATGACGGTGTCCTCTCATTCCTTGCAGTACATACACCCTGCTGATTCTGTGAAACTGGGTCAGGCTGAACTTGTTGTGATTGATGAAGCTGCCGCCATTCCTCTACCCCTGGTGAAAAACCTGCTAGGCCCTTACCTTGTTTTCATGGCTTCTACAATCAACGGGTAAGGCTTGAGCAGCGTCTACCTGGGAAAGCAGTTGTGCAAGTGCCAGTGAACTATTTTTTATCTACAGTACTTTTTTTATTACACACTATTACACCACGTTGTGCTAATTCTTGATCTGTCATGGAACTGTTCCTTAAAATAACCAAGAGGCAGTACTTGAACTTGCTGCTTTCCTTTAGTTCCACGGTGGATTCATTAATTGTTTGACTTGCACCTCTTCTGTTCTGCTACAAGGAGCAAATACATAAACAGGATTCTGCAGTCTGTTAGGAGAGAGGGAAGAATGACCATCTTCCAAAATAGACTAAGAAAGTGACAGGGTAGGCTGCACTGTCCTACATGCCCAAGAACATCAAAAGGCAGCGATTCTTACAGAGGGTTGGGGCCCTCGCAGGCCTCAGAACGGCACATAGCTCTGGATGGCAGCCTAGTTCTGTGCTGGAGCTTCCCCATGCCTCAGGATTGCTGTCTGGTTATTTGCTTCAGACTTTTGTCTTCTGCTTTTCAGGTACGAGGGTACTGGTCGATCACTATCTCTGAAGCTCATTCAGCAGCTCCGTCAACAGAGTGCACAAACCCAAGTCACCATGACAGCAGAGAACAAATCTACAGCCACAGCTAAACTCACCTCAGGTACTCACTCCATTGTGTTCTGGACTGCGGTGTATAACCATGATCTCCGGTGCTGCTGACTGGCAAGCCCTGTGGGTATCCCATGTGCCCATGTACTTTGTAGTTGGATGGGAAAATGAAGGAACTCCCCTCTGTTTTTTCCTCATGATTTTCAGATGTAAAAGCTTTTGAGGGATGAAAGCTGTGCGAGTAATGACTTTCTGATCTCCTGGGAGCCCTTCAAAGGACACTGCTCCTATTGGATTCTTTGCTAGCTGTAACTTTCAACACTAGATGTTCTTCTCTGAAATCTGTTTGCAGCCCGTACGTTGCATGAAGTCTCCCTCCACGAGTCAATCAGATATGCCCCTGGTGACCCAGTTGAAAAGTGGCTAAATGATCTGCTGTGTTTGGACTGTCTCAACATCACCAGAATTATCTCCGGCTGCCCGCTGCCCGAGACTTGTGACCTGTATCCTTATGCAAATGCTGTGCTCTGATCAAAATATATCGCTTTGAAGTGAAGGAGGCTTTTTCAAGCTGAGTAATAGTGGGTTCTCCAGCTGACGTGATAACCTTAGCACATGATCTTTTGGCAAAAGTCTATTAAGACCACACTTCTGGAGTTAAGCTCTTACCACTGCCTTATAAGATCAGCAGTGTGTGTTACCAGGACATTACCAAACTCCAGTTTTACTGCAGAGAGAATCTTAAGGAAAGGTTGAATGAAGGGAAGTCCTTGTTGGAGTTATAAAATGTGTAGCTTTACAGATGAAGCATGTGAAAGCTATGAACACTGCCCAAAGTCATTCATGTAGACAGCTGTAGAGTCTAAGAGCACAAACCAGCATGTAGCCCAAGGCTGTACTGAAAATATTACTCCTAAACCAACAAGGAGCTGTTTCCTTGTTTCCAAGGAGGTTGTTTCCTTCACCCCTGTGTTTAGATACTACGTAAATAGAGACACACTTTTTTGTTACCACAGAGCATCAGAAGTTTTTCTGCAGAGACTGATGGCCCTCTATGTGGCTTCACACTACAAGGTAAAGCTTGGGCTACTTCTATCAAAATTTCAGCTGGGAGTTTTGTGGAGGGATCAGTGCTTGTTATGATAGTCTAATTGAGTTGGCCTAATTGAGGTTTCTGAACAGCTTCAGTTGCTTCTTGTCATGTACAGATCCGTATTCTTCTTTCTCTGAGAAGACCTCTGCTGTGGTCTTGGCTGAATATATGGGATTTACAGATATCTGGAATATTTTTGTCTTGAGAAATTCTGGAGTCTAAATTCTACATGAGCCTACAGGCTTGTCAGAATAGTATCAGTGATGAACCTCTTTTGCAGTTCTCTTTACTGTAATCTAGTAGCCTCAAGTTACCCAAGAGTAGTACCATTGTGCTACTGAAAAGAGTAATAATTCATCTCAAGGTTTCAAGACCATGGGTGACTAGTAAATGTGAGTGGTTAAGTCTGTAAGTACTGAAGTACCGAGTTCTAAAAATCTGACACTTAAAAAAAATTATTTAACATTTGGTAGATTAAGACATAAGTAGCTATATGAAAATAGAAAGTTCAGTTCCATACATATTAGAGCAAGAGGTTTCACTTGAGAAAAATAGATACTGTCTGGTAGTATAACAGCTGTGAACTGGCCTGTGAGCTTCTTCATCCATCAGTATTGTACTAGTTCCAAGCTGCCTAATAGCCCTAAATTCAGAAAATGGAGGATTGTTTAGAAGTTAGCTATTGACATTACACTGGAATTTGAAGCTCTTCTCGTGTAATAATTCTTCAACTTTCTGATATGTCTTTACCCTCCAGAACTCACCCAATGACCTCCAGATGCTATCTGATGCACCTGCCCATCATCTTTTTTGCCTTTTGCCACCTGTTCCACCTACCCAGAATTCGTTACCAGAAGTACTTGCTGTTGTTCAGGTAAGAGAACAGCATGTATCTATGAAGTGAACCGTTCAATAATGAAGCAGTACACTGCTGTGAGACGGTGTACTATCAGTGCACTATGACAGCGGTGTACTATCTAGGAATAGATAGTAGCTTAGGGTTGTGCTTTTGTGTGTCTTACAACGGTGTGTTAAGGCCAGGTTTTATCCCCCCACTTTCTTTTGTTAACACTGATTGCTGTATAAGTATATTGTGATGCTGATTCTTTCACATAGACCTCCCAGTCTGCACAATGAGTTTGTGCTGAGAAGCCTTCTGAGGAGCTGAACTACTGCTTCAAGAGATGACTGTGTCCTTGTCCTCCCATTTCAGCTTCCTGCAAGGAGAGTTGGTTCACTGGTTTGCTCTGCTTAGCCCATGTTTCTAGCATTCCTTTTATTTGCGGTAGAACTGCAAAAATACAAACTCCTCAGATGTACGTGCTTAGAGATGTAGAAATATTTCAGCCCTTGACTGTTGGGTTTCTGACTATATGCTTCCTTCCTTCCTTAAGAACACAGATTCTTAATTACCTGTGTTCGATGCAGCTAGTTAAATCTACTGTTTCTTAAAAGAAGAAAACCCATTTACATGAAAAATATATGATATATAAAGAGAAATATTGGTGGGACAAGCTTTTATGTTTGCTGTTGATGGGCTACAGAAAATGCATAGAGCACTTTCTATGCTTTAATCTCTTGAGGCTTCTGTTGCACCGTAGCGTAACGCCTGCTGCGTCAGATGCACCTGGCTGGCCCGCTGCTGTGCTTTTTGAGACAGGGCTTTTAGGGGCAGAGCCTGTTCGTTGGCATGCCCATGTTTGCTCATCGTGTTGCAGAGCAGGAATCACATGAAATGTCAGTACTGCATAATGGATTCAGCAGCTGAGTATAAATTTTGGTTCTGCTGTAGTGGAGTGACTGTAGGAGAAAACACTTTTTCTCCATTAATGGACTTTTACCTTTTCTGGCAGGTGTGCATGGAGGGAGAGATCTCTCGCCAGTCTATCATGAACAGCCTTTCTAGGGGAAAGAAAGCTTCTGGTGACCTTATTCCCTGGACCATTTCAGAGCAGGTGAATAATTTGGCTGTGTACTCACACCCAAGATACATTTCAGCACTATTTCTTATTTCCAGAGTACCCATCTGTGTTCTTTAAATTGACTTTTGTCTCTTGTGCAGTTCCAAGATCCGGACTTTGGGGGCCTTTCTGGTGGGCGTGTTGTTCGTATTGCAGTTCATCCGGATTATCAGGGGGTAAAGTATTTTGGAGCCCAGTTATTGTGAATAGTCAGCAGTGGTACCACGAGAATGGCTGTATGGGCAGAATTCAAGAACAGGGCAAACATTTCAGTTGCTCCAGTTTTCAGTGTTTTAACCCTGGGGACTGAGCCAGCGGTAGTAAACGGAATGAGGTTGGATGCACAGAAATGGTCAGATGCCACAGCAGGCCGGGGGCATTGCTTTCCTCTGGGCAGGTAGCAAAGCAGTGCTCCTGTCGTTACTAGGCAGCATTGTAGCATGCCAGCATGCCAAGCAGCAGGATACAATCAAGATCCAGTGATACTTATTGTCAGATTACCAATGTTCATGCTGGTGTTTGGCATTTTCTGAGTGCCAGAGTTAAGCACTTCGGGACATGGTTTAGTCTAGTCTACCCTTAATTGGTTTAGTGTGAACTTTGTAATGTTACGTTAATGGTTGGACTGGATGATCTTAAAGGTCTTTTCCAACCTAAACAATTCTATGATTCTATGATTCTAAGAATTATTAAACAGTCCTGAACTACCAACTGGGCTCTCACTGTGATTTTGGACATCCAGGTTCTGTAGTGTCCTTCTTCATGGAGCTGCTATGTAGCAAAGAAAACCCATTTTTGCAGTGACCGAGTGATCTCTGCACTGATCATTGTTAATAGGTTTGTAAGGGGAGAATGTTGTTGCCCTGTCTTGAAAACTAGATACATCTTTTTTGCTTATAGTGTATCGTTCCTACTTCACAGATGGGCTATGGCAGCAGAGCTCTGACTTTACTGCAGATGTACTATGAAGGCAAATTTCCATGTTTGGAAGAAACAACAATTCAAAAGCCAAAAGAAATTGCAACTGTAAGCAGTGAGGTATGGAGCTCAGTGCATTTCTTGTATTTTCTGTTGTGCTAAGCTGTTTGTTTTTCACTGTAAGTCTTAACAATGATTTCTCTGTGTAAGGAAGAAATAGTCATTTATTTCTGATACAGAACAAGAGACTGAATTTGCAGATTTCTGTGAGGATTGCTACTAACCCATTTCCACTTTCTCTTTCAGACTGTTAGTTTATTAGAAGAGGTTGTGACACCTCGGAAAGACTTGCCTCCTTTACTTCTCAAACTGAGTGAGAGACAAGCTGAAAACCTAGACTATCTAGGTGTATCTTATGGCCTAACACCAAGATTACTCAAGTAAGACATTATTTGCTAGTTACATCCAGTGCAAAAATATAAATATATAAATTATATATATTA